GGGGGGTGCCGGGTGGTGGGTGGTTTCGCTATTCGAACACCTTTACACCCTTTTTGGGGGGGGGAGGGTTCACTATTTTCTGGGGCCTTCATGCCCAGGGATGTGATATTAATTTAGTTGGTAACCAAGGAAACTATAAACCACAAATGTCTACGTACGACAATGAAGGCGTTTCCTCTTCTGTGTGTGGTTGACACATCCAATCTTTGACACAGTGTTTGGTGACGGAGCCCGGCCCCCGGCCCCCGGCCCCCGGGGGTTTGTTTTTGGGCTTCGCAACAGAGGCGAACTGTTTGAAATAAGAAAATAGATAGACATGTAAATTTACGAAATGGTCATAAAGAAACCGCGAAACAAGGTTCGAAATACACTTTTGCATATCGAATAGGTAAGCAATACATAGTAGCATATGGCGGCGGCAATATCGGTTATATTAATGTGTATTGTTGAATATTATTCAAGGTCTGCACATAGCCTCATCTGTTTTTATGCTGTGTACTCTCTTCAAACTGAGAACTGTCGCTGATCTGTGATTGTGGAACTGTCACCGAGCCTATTTTGCGCGTTTTTAATCCGACATCTTTTTGAGTTCTCATTTTCACCTGATGTCGATAGATCCCTACAGATACGTGCGATACAAGATAATATGAAGCTATTCCAAACACTCGCCTTCGTTGCTTTGGCAACCTTCGCCATTGCCGATGTGCAACTGGAGAATTCAGCAATCAGAGACGATGTCGCGGTGGAGCCGCCACTCGATTTGAAAAACATGAATACTATGGACTGTATGTGGTATACATTTTAACAGAATACGTTTTTAATAACCAGAGTAGAGAATTTTATTTGAAGCTGTTTCTTGTTTCATACCAATTATGCAGTTGATTTTTCAAGTTCCAATGGCCAAACTTGAAGTATGAGGAAATGATTGTTTCTGCAGTATGTAAGCGTACGAGATATACACATATAACAAGTCTTGTGTTTAACAAGTCTTGTGTTTTTCTGCAAAGAGGTACATATACGGCTATTCACATTAATTTGCGCCCAAGGGTACTTCCACATTAGCACAAATCAGTTCTTTATTGCAACAGCCCTTGTAGTTTGTAACGTTAATGTCATCATGTATGTACACAAGCGGCATAAAAAAGTTATATGGCAGTAGAATTTATCTATGTTTACTCATATGTGCTTTCTATAAGTGAATAATTTCAGACCACACATTGACAGACAAGGATAAACACACGAACGTTGAAAAGTGGACGACGTCAAACACATGTCACTTACCTTAGTCTCGAGTGTAAGCATCCGCAATTGAGATACGTACTCACATAAAACTATACACCAACATTTACGAAAGTCTCCCGTAAGCATCCGAATATACACATGTTAACATTTTTGTGTACGTGTGCATTTATTATTATTGGTTCACATATTTCATGCTGCATATCTATCTGTGTGCATAGATTCTAATCTGCTTTCAAATACGACTTTAAAGGGTGCATACTTCCCAATTAAATGCATCGTTGTTCCTCAACACGACAAGCTTATACCTTCTAACCGAAACAGAAGTAATTTCATATTATTCTTACGTGACTTATAGCAATTGATTTTGACAAAAGACTGAATGCTACAGATAAGTGCATTGTCCATACACGAATGTATGCATCTACAGGGCTCGTGGATACCTTTTTCTTACCTCCTTACTTCATTTTAGGCATGTGTAAATAATATCAACTTGCGGATGGCAGTGAAATTCGATAGAGTTAATCTTTATAAGCTTGAGTGCATATCCGCACACTATAGTGCAATCTGATGAGCTAGTATAGTATATATACGTGATTAGATTATCATAAGTGTGAGAACACTTAAGTATTGATGTACTACTCATATGTTCGATCACTATGTGTTAGAGGAATGTTCTAATATGCAAGGGCTACGCATTTTGTTTTCCCTTACAGAATTTCTCATCCATTTCATATGCACATGTATTTTAACGGTAATGCTTAATATTTATTACCGTATACGTATGTTGAGGTAACTATGCTCTGTGCGATATCAATATGTCCTTCTTCCAGAGTAACGGTATAAGCTCATTCGAATTTATATATGTCTCTGCACATTTATAGTTCGAAAAGCACGCTTTCTCATACACTACGCTTTCATTTACTACTAATCTGCATCTATAGCTCTTTTTTACATTCATATGCTACGCTCCTGCATCTATGTCCGATCATCTGACTTTATAATCTCTTTCCACAGTGGTGAATAAAGCAATCGACGAAAGTGAAGATTCGGTGTCGTACTTGATGAAGTTGGGTCCCGTGAAAGTATGTGCGCATTCTCAATTCCGGATCGTTGTAATCGGGATATGTGCATTTCAATATTCCAAGTTTCGATCATTCACATCTGGCGTAGATCCAATTGATCACAACTCAGAATCAAGAAAAGCCGCAGTTGTTATTTTGCGATGTCAAGCCGCCGACATTCTTTGAATGGTTTGTTTTACGACTGCAGGAGTTAACGACGGCTGGGTGTCTGATACCGTTGATGCCCCTGGGCATGAAGGTCCCCCTTTTCACACAATGCCTGTCACGCGTGAATGAAAAGCAAGGGTTTGCGCTGGATGAATGTCAGAAAGGTAAGCACCACAGCGCTTGTATTTGCGTGGATGAGGGACGTAGTTGTGCATGCATCCGTACAGAAAACATGTCGCGCTTAGTACTCTATGCCTGATTCCCTAACCCATATCTGATGGTTTAGGGGTTTAGACATTAAACCCAACCCTAACCCTGACCATTATACCTCGCTCCCATCTAATCTCATCAAATTGCGATGCAGAAATCTATGAGATTCTAGAGGCATTCCAAGTGTTCTACGACAAGAATGAGCGCAAATGTGGCAAAATCGTACAGACTTGGTTCAAGAAGACTATCATAGACGTGGATCTCGACAACATCATGGACCATCTCGCTAGAGAGCTCTTCACCTGCAAAGGTAGGTGGTTTCATGATCATCCATATTCGTTTATGAAATGATGGACTCTTTGGCTCTCAGAATTGTCCCCTGTCGAGCGCCTTTGTGCAGACAGCCCATCCGATCGATTTATGGAGTCGATATTTGAAGATGTTTGAGTTCATTCATGATGAATGTATATTTAGTCTGAATATGATATTATTTTTAATACAATATTCAGTAGCATAAGAGTACAGAAGAAAGGCCGAAGTGGTCTTAAACACACACACGCACATGTTTCTACGCATTAAACCTACACAACATACCCCATTTGATTATGAACAAACAATATAAATAATACATCCACGCACATATTCTCATACACTTATGCATGCTAAATATGTTGTAACTATGTTATGTATTATATATATATATATATATATGCATATATACATATATACATACACACACACACACACATATATATATATATATACATATTGTATATACATAAATATATATATATATATGCATATACATATATATATATATATATTAATCGAGACCCCTTCCCGATCTAATTCGTATGTTTTCGTATCTGTGACTCATATCAGGGGAAGACAAGTCTGCTTGTCACGAGAAGACCAAATCAGTTTTTGCGCGGATTCTAGCGACTGTGTGGCAAGACATCAGCTTCCTGAAGGACGAGGGAATGAGTGTTGTGCAACCGCTCATGTCTCTGCTGCCACGTGTGCAGACCTTTGCCGTGTGCATGAACGACCAACCGCTGATCATCGACGAACTCGATGCGTCGCAGAAAGACCGCTACCTGCGAGCGGGTGCACAGATCAACAGCATTCTGAAGGAACTCGACAGCTTTAGTGGCGCGCTAGTCTACCTCGGCATGGTGTGTGAGTGAGTGTACTTTTACTTTTCATTTGGTTTCACCCAATGTGCGAATTTCATAGACCTTTGTGCTGATTGGAGTGCACCATACTGCAGGGTATCCGAACACTCCATGAAAACTAAAGCCATCCCTACTGTGTATCTTTAACAATTCCCTCACACAGGGTGACATGGCGCAAAAGCTCTTCAACATTCCATTCGAGGATCTAAATGATGTGCGAAAGTGCAAAGAGGTATGAATAGCGAATATTGGAAATAGTGTTTATGTTCAACTGTGCGTATGTTTTGCAGCGATTCTCAGCGTGAAATGATCAAACTGTTTGTAATAAGGATATGCATAAATAGCCAAACAATAGTATACATAAGTACAGCGCTGTGGTAGCATATGCCTAAGTTTGTGGTACAGCTTTTTTAATAAACGGTCTGTGATTGTTGGGGCCATCAGGCGTTGTTCGATGTTTTAACAGCACCACAATATCCAAATGTACCGAAATTCCAATTGCTTTGGATGTTTTAGTTGTTTCTATGCTGAACCATTCACTGCTGATGTTTTTGTAGGATGGAAAGGTGATGCTGGAGAGAGTGGGAGACACCATAAAAAATGAGCAGACCAAGGACTTCCTAGCGTTGATCCTCAAAACAGTGCCTGTCTTGAGTTTAGCTGGGTTCAAGAGCCTTATTAATGAGGTAACTTCATACCCTCCAATCATTATTATGCAGGCTATTCTTGGGCCTTCCAATTTTCCGCGCGTAATGTTGGTGTGATTTGGGGTGTATGTTTGGCAAACACTGTCCTCTTCGCTTTAACCCACCGAAATGCGATTTCAAGTCTGTGGCGGGTCAATTGTTCGAATCAAAGTGTGTATCGTCCTTGCATGATACTAAAAAATAGATTCAATCGTATACACATGTCGTCATCCCCAGTACTCGCGGTTTCAGATTTTCTGAAACCGTCCAATGTACATTGGAAGTCTTCGTTTCTCATTTGCTATTTTCATATTAAATATCAGGTACCCACAATGGTTGCTGACATCACCGACGTAACCGATGCTCTATTCTTCAATTGGGAAAGCAAAACTGAGCTTTTGTCAATCATGGACGATTTTGGCACAAAGCTAATTGTATGTATGAGAAGAAATTGGACTATCGAATTGCGAACCTCTCATGTGTGCATGTCTACGTATCCCAACGTTATTTTGGGCTTCAATTCAGTATCATGCGTACTTTTTCTCTGGGACGTCACTTACAGGACGACAATGATTTGTTCCTGAAACGGTTTTAGGGTTTTAGTTGAATTACAATCTTTAGGCAACTATTACGATGTGTCCGTAATGTATTGGTTTCGACCTCCGGATTTTTAAGCAGAACGCTATCTGTGACAGTGTTCGTCAGGGCGCTAGTTTCTTGTTGCGAGTCTTTCACATACGAGGAGCAATTAATACATGCATGCGTGTGATATATATATTTGTGTATTTTCGCAGGAATGCACAACTCTACAGTTGGGGTATTGCGCTCAGAGTATCACCTTGTAGTTCTGATCTTTACTGACACAAACTTGCTGCGACTTCTTCAAATAATAGGGGTTGGCTAAAATGATGCAGCCTGGATTCATGATCAAGGAGGGTTGTGACGGTATGTACGTTGTCATGTGCTCGTATTTAGTTGCGTCGTTACGGAAACAGCTCATATCAGAGTGCTCACTTGATAACCGGTTCATGTTTGAGAGTTCTTTTGCTAGTTTATATCAATGTAGGGTTTTATTTTGTCAGTTGGTAATGTCTCGTTGCCATCTTTCATTCACCCCGGTCATCTTCAGTCCATCCCCTTTGTCGTTCTGGACATTCAACACGCATATATTATATATTTTCCAAAGAGGGTCTATCGTCAGTCGTGTATTCTGTTGACTGGGGAGTTGATTGTTGCTTACCAATGTCCTCTATTCTCAACTGCAGGCGAGATCGTAATTGTGAACGGTGAGCGAAATTGCGTACGGGATGAATCCGAGCTGCAGTAGACTTCATCGCTGTAGAGTTAATTTGTATGTTAAGAATGTATTTTTGGGGGAATTGATGCGCTATTCAATTCCCTTGAAATCTCACTGCCGGTAGTAGACTGAGGGCAAGCTGCTATATGATCTCCATGGAGTCCTCTGGTGCACGAGGTTCACATGCATCCATGTATGTGATATGGACATACTCTGGTCTGCGGTTTTAAGTTCAAACACATCAAATATCGTCAGAGCTTGATGGGTGAATTAAGCAGGCGTTGGAATTTACACGACGCCTACCCATAACAATCGAATGCCTTGGAAGAGCACCGCCACCACACAATCAACTGAGTACAATCGTAAGCGGAAACTGACTCACAGTAGACGACGCTCTATTCCTTAACAATAAACAATTGATCAATACAGAACTTGAGCTAGTTTGCTGATACATTGTATATTTTCTGTGCTGATGCGCCTGTGGACATAATACTTCACCCCAAATTGAAATAAATAATATTATCCTTATAATCTAGCGCGGAGTACTTGTCTTGGCGAAAGATTGTTGCCCAATTCAAATATATGGCTTCTGGCGAGTGTGTAATCCAGTTCAGTTTCCTATAGTTGTGGCATGTTATATGTGTGTTATGTTTGTGAGGTTCAATTGGTTATATTAGCAACAAAGCTCTACATTCTGTGGCCATTGGGACCTGACGCGGAAGTGATTATCACCAGCCAAGGCTTCAGTAGAGGCTGGATCGACTTCCATACAGTGTTGGCTGTAGAATATTATCGAGAAGTGTTTGTCTCACCTCGGGTCAAAAAGGACATGCGAGGTTCAGAGGAGGACGAAACCGAAAGATATATAACTAAAAAGAACAAACGACATGTTTGAATTAAGTGGCATATGAATCAAACATGGATGCGAATATTCTGTTAGTTGCTTTATTGCCTTCTGTTGCTCATTGTGCACATGGATGGGCTTCCCTTTCTATCATGACATGCTGGCAAGCACTGCTTCAACCAGAGGGTAGTATAAAATGATTTACGATTCCTAAATAATATTCTATGCGCTTCTGATCCTAGATTAATATTTCCCAAGCAGGTGTTCTCATGCAACGTGCATGATGATTCACAAACTGCTCGACTGACACATGCGTCCGGTGGCCATCTTCATACGTTTGTCACGTGCGTGATTCTCGGCACAGTGAAGAACATCAGCCGCTCCTGTCCACTGGCAACACGTCGTCCTGTCCTTGGTACAGATCTGCAGCATCAACAGTAGCGCGTCATTAGATAGTGAGGATTAATCTCCCGCTGTAGGTATCATTTAGTGACGTATGCGGATATTGGAGTACATTTAAGTCCCTTGTAGTGCACTTAGAGAACTATCACTGCAGCCATTCACACGTGGTCTGCACCCATTCAAATACAACAGCCATGACAACTGCACTCGTGGAATTTGCATTGCAACTAAATTAATGCTATATTCGAGCATAATTAAATTAATGCTATATTCGAGCAGAACTAAATTAATGCTATAGGGTTTAGGAACTACACCAGGCATATGTCACACATTCACACACCATTGCGCTCCCACACCCATCCACTTATCCCATCCACAAACTACTACAATAGAACTACACCAGGCATATGTCACACATTCACACCATTGTGCTCCCACACCCATCCACTTATCCCATTCACAAACTACTACACCATATACTATTTCACATACCATTGTGCTCCCACACGGACGTGCCTGTGTAGGCTGTGCTGATGAGTGGTGAGTTGTTGCTGATGAGTGGTGAGTTGTTGCTGATGAGTGGTGAGTTGTTGCTGATGAGTGGTGAGTTGTTGCTGATGAGTGGTGAGTTGTTGCTGATGAGTGGTGAGTTGTTGCTGATGGTGCTGCTGAATTTGGTTTTGCTCCGTGCGCGCAGTGGAGATCCAATGCGTTGTCTGGCACCCCGACTGTTGGCGTTGTGTTTGGTTGGGATTGTTTAGTTGGGATTGGTTGGTTGGGATTATGTAGTTGGTCAGTGAAGCACATGCCTCTGATCAACCTACGAGACTATGTGCACTGGTCTGGTAATTACCTACCACGGCAAGGTACTGCACTCGCCGAGTTTTGAACTACTCTAATAAGGCAATGTGCCCGCCAGGATATATAGTTAGGCGTTTAGGGTTCAAGGCTTTAGGTTGCAGTGTTTTAGATTTTAGAGTTCTTACGGATGTATTGGACTGCACATGCGCGTGAACATTAGAAATCATTAGTGATCGCGTGCTACAGCGCATCAATGCATGGGCAGATGGAGACGAAAGCACGCACGCGAGTGTATCATAAAGCAGCGAAACTGGACGGTGGGTCAGACAACGGATAGGTGTTTACGTGTGTAGGACAGCATGACGGTCATGACGACTGTAGAGTATGCGATGAAACCGGGCAGAGCGAAAGTGAGCCGAGCGTCACTTGTGATTGATTTTAGAGCAACACTCATCAATGTCTACATACACAACCACCGCCCCCCAATCAAATGCGCTCAGGCCATGAGCCACGAATACTTCTGTCCTAAGCTGATGGGTCTCTCAGTCTCGTTTTAAAACGTCACAAAGGTGCAAACAGGGGTAGAAAAACAAGCACACGGCCACCACGCATAGAAGAAGGGGGTGTAGGAAAACAAGCACACGACCACCCCGCATAGAACAAGGGGTCGTATATTTGCAATGATTGACAGCAGGCATTCAGATGTCAACAGAGCACACTTACTCATTATCAGCGAATACCGTCACGGGCGTGGAGGGATTGGACGAATACTCACCCCCACGCTCACTCTCAGACAGCAGATCCGACAGACTCACAGCAGACGTGGACTTGCGCATGGTGGGGCTTGTGCTTCCGCCCAGCTGCTGGGTTGAATTGGTAAGCTATTGATAAATTCAAATTTAAAAGTATCGGTGCCAAATCGATAGTATCAGAGCCAAATTTCAGGTATCAGAGCCATACGAGCCAAATCTATAGTATCAAGCTAAAACTATAATATCAGAGCCAAATCTATAGTATCAGAGCCAAACATAATGGTATCAAAGCCAAATCTATAGTATCAGAGCCAAATCTATAGTTCCAGAGTCAAATCTATAGTATGAGAGCCAAATTGATAGTACAAGAGCGTGACAGTCGCTTGCTATGCGTTTGAAATGAACAAACGCTACGAAACATACAACACCCGACCCACGCACATCATTAACAACCAATCACAAAGTCACCCATTATTAGCAACCAATCACAAAGTCACACACATCATTAGCAACCACTCGCAAAGTCACACACATCATTAACAACCAATCACAAAGTCACACACATCATTAGCAACCACTCACAAAGACACATCATTAGCAACCAATCACAAAGTCACACACGTCATTAGTAACCACTCGCAAAGTCACGCACCACTCACGTACCAGGGAACTGTTGGTTCTGCTGAGTTTGTGGCGATGAGGCGAGAGGTTGTTTGTGGTCTCTGGCGCTGTTGAGTCACTTGGCCCAGCGACCAGCCCCTTTGTGATCTTACTCTTTGACCCACGCCGCGACGATGAGAAAAACTCGGTCAGTTTCTGCCGCGGACTATAAACGGCAGGGGTTCAGAGGTTTATAAATATAGCTTTTTTCTTGTAGTTTTAATACTTTTCGAGTCTTGGAGGCAGGGGACTACCAGCAGAGTAGAGTCATGGATGTGAGATTTTGATGGGAAGGATTCCTAACCAACGAATGCAACAGAGTCATACACTGCACACTCATGCGCTGCATTGTGATAGGATTGTTAAAACCCTAAAACCCTAAAATTTTCGACGTCAATAGATTTTACAAACGAAAAATACAATGCGACTCTTTTTAATATCGTTTGTGCTACAGCGAATATTCGCACTCACACTGTCTATCTTCTGATTGTACCTACTACCCTAAACCCTAAAACCACCCATGTACTACCTTCCTTCAGTTCACCCCGACATTCCATCACTATAAGCAACACCTGCCACGGCTTAATCACCACCCTAAAACTCATATCACATACATGGCATGTCACCGCGCTACAACAAATTCGCCTGAGCACACACTCTCTAACTAATGGGCGACGCATGACACGTACCACCGAATTCCATCAAAGTCTGAATACGGGCCACGAGCAAGTGCTATTTACTACAGGCTACACATTTGCACTAAATGTTACAAAGCCATACACCCCCACCCATAGAACTTCTTTATACGAGACTCCAATCGCTTAACTCTCTCCACAGATCTCAGTGAATTGTCCATAAAACCACAGAAGTACACAAGAGCAAATGCTGACGGAATATCTCTAAGCAATTATCAATATCACACACGTCACTTACGAAAATGTGGAATCGGAATCAATGGGTTCGCCTAAACTTGACGTCGATGACAGGCCGCCGTTAGTCATAGTGGGATTACTGCCCGCGCGATTAAGCACCGCACTGTCCATCTCAATAGGCTGTGGGTGTTAATGATGGTGTGTGTGTTAATGAGGGTGTGTGTGTTAATGAGGGCGTGTGTGTTAATGAGAGAGAGAGTGTTAATGAGAGAGAGTGTGTTAATATATAGGTTTATGCAAACACTGTAAATGTGCAGTGAGTAAGGGGGGCGTATGGTTTGTAGACATATATACGATGTAGGGTTTTAGGGCTTTAACCATTAGCCACAGCATGCGACTAAGTGAGGCGTTCGCAAGGCTGTGTGTGTGTGTGCAAATGAGCGTATGCGTATGAGTGGATGATTGGGTTGGACGCAGTGAGTGAGTGAGTGAGTGAGTGAGTGAGGGAGCGCATGAGTTGTGAGTGAGGAAATAAGCGAGATTGGATGTGATAGTGATGAGTGAGTATAGTGGCAATGAATGCGTGCGATAGTTGCAAGTCACACCACCAATGTCTGTGAACCAATGCCCCGCCCAGGCACTCAGATTTAAGAACTGCGTGCGATGCCTTGTGGGTGGATGTTCGGCATTGATCGAGACGAGAGGAAGAAGAGCACGACACAGGGGCTGACATGTTTGGAAGTTTAACTACGCGAATCTTAACTACCACTTTAGCAACTAGTCGCACTCCGCCCCATGCATATGCACAAAAGGGTGGAGCACCGGAGGACAGATAGGGTCAGGACAAAAGCAGAAAACCCTGAATAAACGGTACAAGCAGAAACAGAACGACCACTGCAAATATATCAAACTGCACATACGTATAGGCTACGCAGTACAGATAAATCAAACTACACACACGTGTAGGCTACGCAGTACTTACGTAAGAAATACCGCCGCGCAGAAGATTGTTGTCACTGCAGCTATTGAGATCCGCAGCCGCCTGCGAAGGGTAGTCCTTCCCTCCTCGCGCATTTGTGTTATTCCCTGTAGAAAAACAAAAAACAACAACACAAGAAACCATGTCATGAGAAGTGAAAGCACAAAAAACAACAAAATATGTCATAAGCGCCCAAGAAATCAACGCAAACGAGGGAGAAGGTCGTTAGAAGGTCGCTAGGAACACGTGCAGGTGAACAGAAATCAACGCAAACGAGGATGTGGGAGGGAGAAGCGAAATGGCAAATGTGACATCTGAGGGATTTGGTCATGGAAGCTTCGAGTTGCATTAATATTGATTTGCAAAATGGAATAGAGCTCAATGTACTTCAGAAAAAAAAGAAAGAAAAGAATGTGGCATGATTAAAAGGCCTTTGTACGACTGATGACTCTTCGAAGCTGCGCTGTGATCTGGATATGACAACATCGAACAAACTTATGACACAAACATACAGCGTTATAAACGTCGAATACGTTGAATACTTGCTTTGACACAGGACTGCAGCCCTAGCGCCGACTGGCACACAGAGTGCATTGTGTGTACATTTGCAGTGAGTGCATTGTGTGTACATTTGCAGTGAGTGCATTGTGTGTACATTTGAAGTGAGTGTATTGTGTGTACATTTGAATTGAGTGCATTGTGTGTACATTTGCAGTGAGTGCATTGTGTGTACATTTGAAGTGAGTGTATTGTGTGTATATTTGAAGTGAGTGCATTGTGTGTACATTTGAAGTGAGTGCATTGTGTGTACATTTGAAGTGAGTGCATTGTGTGTACATTTGAAGTGAGTGTATTGTGTGTACATTTGGAGTGAGTGCATTGTGTGTACATTTGCAGTGAGTGTATTGTATGTACATTTGAAGTGAGGCATTGTGTGTACATTTGAAGTGAGTGCATTGTGTGTACATTTGAAGTGAGTGCACTGTGTGTACATTTGCAGTGAGTGTATTGTGTACATTTGAAGTGAGTGCATTGTGTGTACATTTGAAGTGAGTGCATTGTGTGTACATTTGCAGTGATGGAGCCAAAGGTTGACCACTTACGAGAGCGTCCGCTGCGCATGAATCCCGTGAATCGGTTGGTGAAAGATTCACTACTTTCGCTAGTGTTAGCGGCTGATCCCAGTATTTGCCTGAAGAGATTGTTGTACGTATTGACCAGTTTCCGTTTGACGTACTTTGCGGTGTTGGCTGTGAGCGTAGGAAGTGAACAGTCTATGAGTCGATGGTACACATGCACTCGGCTACAACTGATGACACCCATGGGTGTGGGAAAATACGAAATACCAAAGCGTTCAACCCGTTGCAAACGAAAGTATGTAACGCACATCCATGGCAATTGGGCTCAAAATATCACACCTGGATTGTACGTTCAGGAAAACTTGGAATCGTGGTTGACATCTCATAGTCTGTCGTATTGATGAAACAAGCATCATAACACGCGCCAAATAACACGGAAAATATATATACACACACATATAAATATATATATTTATATACATGCTGCATATATATATATATATATATATATATTTATATATATATATATATATATACATACATACATAGATACATACATACATACATACATATACATATACACATACATATTTATATATATATATAGATATATAGATATATATAGATATATATTATATATATATATATATATACATATATATCACGGTCAATTGGTGAGCACCAAGTAGACAGCCAAGTTCATACGGATGGCTGATATTAATGCACAACCGTTAGACTTGCATCGGAGGCGAGACCTACACTCTCGCACAGCAAATTCACGACTGCAAACAACTAAACGCGTAATAGAGCACACGCATCTCTCTCTGACAACCCACTCACCGTTGAGCATATAAGCGCCTGCGGTGCAGAACGACGCTAAAAAAGCCTCCTGCACCTCGGCGGTGTACTCTCCTTCAGGCAGTCGCTTGTGGAACAGCACCAGCACTGACTTGGCCATGGCTACATACATCTCCTCAGTAATGCCCTGCGCAATGTGTTGCAGTCCTATGCTGCGAATTCTGTACAAAGTGTGCAATGGGAGGGTCTTAGGGTTTAAGGGTATTAGAGTTTAGGGTTTAAGCGTAATAGAACACTCTTCACATACAGATCAGTATGAAGACTACACTCACAGTTCAGTATCGACTCCATCGAATGGGCGTAGAATGACGTGCTGCATCATGCTGGCAAAGCCCCTGCTCTCCACTGCGACGTTTCTGAACTTGGCCTTGATCTCAGGCATCTGCGCGTACAGGTCGCCTGCAGTGTGTGCGATGGGCGTGGCAGTGAGCAATGCGACAGGTGTGGTTAAAGGATCAGTGATACCACTAGCCACACATACGCCGTCACAGCAACGTAATAGCACAGTCAAGCGGTCGCAGGGAAAGAAATGGGACTGTCGAGCGACTGAAGACAGCAGGAGGAAGGAAGATCAAGTGGCCACATACCAAAGAACACCCGAATGATCTCCGTGAGAAAGAACGTGGGCACGGCATCGTCTGCCGGGGTCACTACCTGCAGCATGGAATGAAGCATGGAGTGCCTCATGACTACGGCTGTTGGCAGAACAAGGTCTCATGTGTGTTGTGTATGGTGGTGGCACTGTTGGTGCCGCATGAACGCGCTTGTTTGTCATGTGATGACATTCATATTTTAAGACATACTTTAGGCATACATTAGATGCATGTAACATACATCCACTAGATGCATATAACATACACACACTGGCTGCTGTTGTTGTGTAGTGCATTGCTGATGAAGCTATGTAATGTATTGCTAGCGTACCTTTAAATTATGTAGTATGTCTGTAGCTCTGTAGCATGCCTTTTCAATCTTGGCCCGAGTGTAAGGAGAGGGGCGGCACCCCACCCCCTATAAACTATAAAGTGTATTTGTAGCACACGTTCAACTCATGCAACATTTCAAGCAAACCATTGATCTACATATTGTGTTTGTAGCATCTATTCCATCCATCTAGTGTATTTGTTCATACTACATATTGTGGTTGTAGCATCTATTCCATCCATCTAGTGTGTTTGTTCATACCGTTGTCCAGGTTTTCTGCACAAGAGCGCGTTGAGCCGTGGTGACGCCCATGCGTGGATGGCTGATGATCTGTGCTTCTGATTCGGTCGGAGTAGTGTCTCCGTCGCTACGGAGATTTGCAAATCTGGTGCAAGAGCAATGTAAAAACAAGAGTAACATAAACAACCAACAAGAATCCAAGTATATAACAACAGACCAGACCAACTATACGAGTGCACGAGACTCTTATTTTTTTATGGAAGGCATTCATACTGGATGCTATGTGATTGGATTTATTATGGAGATCGTCAACACAATGAATGTAGATTGGTGTATTGCGTCGCTATTCAGCCTACGCAATAGTTGTAACTATTACGCAATAAGTGCACATGTGTTATCCCGATTATCCCGATTATGCTATAAGTGTACATGTGTTATAACGATCCCGCTATAAGTGTATGTGTTATAACGATTTCGCTATAAGTGTACATGTGTTACAACGATTACGCTATAAGTGTACTTGCGTTATAACGATTACGCAATAAGTATACATGTGTTATAACGGCAAACAAACGTGTAAACCCACTCCATCGTACTATAGCACACACTCTCACTAACTATCCGATCTCAACGAACCCCCATCGTACACCCACACTCACCCCCACATACTTTGCCAGCACCACGCTGCCCTTGCATAGCATGGGGTCTCTCTCTACGCCAATCGCAGGCAATGATCGCGGCGCATCCAGCGCAGGCGCTGTCAGCGTTGGCAGTGAATGCGGGTCACGCAGCGCAGCAACGCCACTGCGTGTGTCGCCAGACACGGTGTGGCGTGTCGTGTGCGGTGAGGCTGCACCGTTGGCGCTGTTGTTGTTGTTGTTGTTGCTGACTGCGCTACCCTCGGTGTATCGGCGTGCGTGTGCGTGTGTGTCTCTGAATGGTACACTTGTGGCGTGGTTGTTGGTGGCGTGTGCAGGGTCTGTGACCTTCTCCAGAAATTCAGCCCACGAGAACGCCTGCAGGTTTGTTGTCTGGCGAGACGCTTGTGCGTGTGTGCGAGCGTGCGTGTGCATGGTTTTGCCCTGGGGTTGTGTGATGGTGTGGGGGTGTGCGCGTGGTGAGCCGTCTGAGCTGGCGTGGTGCAGTTGTGCCGAGTGGTGTGTGGGGGGTGGGCTGGGTGAGTGGTCTGTGCCTGTGCCTGTGCCTGTGGTGGTGTGCGTTGGTTTGCTACCACTCCCCTCAAATGGAGACACCGCACGCAGTGCCATGGCGCGAAAGGTGCCTGAACCACCCGACGACATTGCCCTGAAGCGGCTGCCGGTGGAGCTGCTCCTGGAACGGGTCTTTGGTGTTCCGATGGGCTCGAGTGTGTTGTTGTTGTTGTTGTTGGTGGTGGTGGTGGTGTTGGAGTGGTGGGTGCTGAGAGTTGAGCTGTTCTTGGGCATATGATGATTGACCAGGACGTCGTCGTCACTGGCCCACCTCCTTGAGAAGCGGGGGCTGGGAGTGCTTGAGCCCCGGGGTATTCTTGGGCGTACAGGGGGGTCTTCTTTAAGCATCGTGAAGAAGTCTGTGTCGCTTTCGTCGCCCGTGCCGTCGGGGGTACAGACGGCAATGCCTGTGGTTGCGCTGCCGCCCATTTCAATGCAGCTCTGGCTGTTCCTGAGCGCGAGATCGTTCTTGCTCTTGGGCTTGGGCTTGTCCTTTTTGCCTTTGTTCTTCTTCTCCTTGCTGTCTTTCCGTCCCCTTCCTGCGAATTTCAAAGTGCGCAACAACAGTGACATTAACAGATACAAGCAGAGTGGGATGAACAGAGTGTTTGAGTGGAGTTAAGCAGTCGTATCATTGCCATTGCCACAACTCTCAGAACTCAAATAGAGACCACGTAGACGACTACAACGCGACCGAATGATTCAAGGACAAAAAGGGTTTAGTAGGCGCAGATCACATATAGGTGATAAGTGCAATGAATGTGTTATACAACAGACTCACCAGTGTGTGGCACCAGATAGCCCCGCAAGTGTGCTGAACAGACAAGTGTGGTAATGCCATTGATTAGACTAGTGTGGTGATGCCATCGATTAGACTAGTGTGGTGATGCCATTGATTAGACTAGTGTGATGATGCCATTGATTAGACTAGTGTGGTGATGCCATTGATTAGACTAGTGTGGTGATGCCATTGATTAGACTAGTGTGGTGATGCCATTG